ACCACTCCAAACTCGATTGCAGGAAGTACGATTTCAGCAACAGAGTGGTCAATGTCTGGAACTCAATACCTGATTCTGTTGTCACCTGCTCAAACCCCCACTCCTTTACCCTCAAACTCTATTGACCTCACCTCATTCCTAAGAGGTCGGTAAGGGACGTGCATAAGCGCACAATCATGCCTACCATCCCTGTCCTATTGTCCCCAATTATTAGTTCCTATTTCTTGTATTTAAACTTATGTTTATTCTTATTTCTGTTATATTGTAAGTTTTTGACAAATAAATAAATAAATAAAATAAAATAAACTTATTCTCCGAATGAGTATCCTTATACTGTCAAAATGCACAAATAAGAAGGGAAAAAAAGATTTGGAGAAATTGCAAAGTTTGCAGAAGAAGTAGGCAACATCTACGAGTTGGGACGCCCATTCTCAAGATGGAAGAGTAGAGAAGGGCTACATGGATGGTCATTGGCATCTAGTGCTAATTAAATAATAGACACTTCTGGATAACATTTTGTATAAATCAATATCAGTATAAATATATTATGGTCATGTGCTATGTGGCAAACTGCCTGCTGGTCTTCATCAGACCTTTCATTGGCTGTGTTAGGAATAATGGTACTGACTGCCTTAAACAAAGGGCTATCATTCCCATTCCCCAGACACAACACTTAGAAAACAAGCACAGGCAGCACAGAAACTGACTGACTTGATCATGGAGACAAGTGAACGCAATATCCTTCACTTATTCCAGCTGCCTGCCTGGAATCCTAGTTTAGAAAGTTAGCACCCACCCCTCTCCTAGAAAAATGAAATATCCTAGGAACTATTAAAAAGGCAGAATATTTCCCCTAAAAAGAGTAGAAACTCAGAAGTAGAAACTCATCTCAGAAGCAGAAACTCACCCCCACCTTTGTTAATGGGCAGGCCATTAAGGCCTGGGCCAGAATATTCTACATAACAAAGGCTTCTGCCCATCTCACTACCTGGCCTGGGAAGATTGCATCAGCCAGAACTCAGGTGAAACCAGACAAAGCCTACAAAGTTAACTAAGACGCCCGCCCCTGGGAGTGTAACAGCCAATGGGATACATTTCTTACACAGGAACAGGAAACACTAAGGTGGGGCCCAACAGAGGGTATAAAACAATTGCACTTTCAGAATCTTGCCTTTTTTCCCCTTCTTCTTTTCCTTCACCCAACATATGATCATCCTTTTTACTTTGGAGCTCTAAGCCATGTGGTCCTGTTCACCATTAAAACATTTTTCCAAACAGCCTCCATGTTTCCAGCGTCTTTTTCCCCACTTGGAACTGAACCCAGAAGGATAATTCTTCCAACACTAGTAAGAACACTCCATATTGAAATTATTTTGCTGTGGTCCCAACTGTATTATACTGATATCATTAATGTTTACATCTTACATTTTTTATTATAGAACCCCAGGGCACATGCATAGCATTCCCATATAGTTTTCAACATAGACAGCATAGATAAAGCACAAGTATATGGGCTTCATCAGAATTGTTGTCATTTGTTTCTTTATGATAATCTGACACCCAAGGTAATTACCCTTAGCATGCATATGGATTTCATTGCATCAAACTAATGGACCAGCTATTTAAAAGCTAGTTCTGCCAGAACACTGTTTCCTATTTAAGGGAATTTATAATATATATGATACTGTAAATATGGCATTTGTCAAAGAAAAACTGGATAATGTATTCTTATGAAATCCAGGCAAATTTCTGTTTCTTCCTCTGTAGACAGAATTTGCAAGAGCTATGCTATAGAATTCTCACTATTAACAGAATCAACTGATCATGTACCATATATGCCCATACACAACATAAAACATTTCTTACAATTAAAAAACACAACTCGCTCATCAAACTTTATGGAAAACAGCCATCTTAAAAATGATCATGATGTTTCTTCTTGGATTGATATGAAATTACTATATTAGTAGTAGATAAGGTATTATATCACTTAATATGGTTGTAGTTCTTTTGTCTTTGGAGTAAGCTAGACATCAGGAATTATATGAATTGGTTTAGATATTAATGTTGTATTATACTGTATATTGCTCCTATCCAAATTAAATATTGGTTTAGTTGCAATTCACTTACAAATTAGGAATATATTACAAGACACTGACTTAAACATAAAATCACATTTTCAAGAAATATTTAAATAGACTTTTACATTAACCTTACATTGAGTGCAGCATGATATGGTTCTGACTGAAACTGCTGTGTTGCAAATATTTGCAACGCTAAATAAAAACTAAAAACTCCAGACTACATCAAGTTGAAGATAATATATCAAAATAGGTTGCAGCATAAAACTGTAGGAACTGAGAGGCAGGGGTAGAATCTGATAATCTAAGAAAAAAAAAAAAAAAGAGTCCATGGCAAGTTCTGGCATGCCTTCACCAAGTAATACACATTTCTTGATAAATCCACCCAAGGACAAGCAGTAACTGGAATCAGAGCAATGGGAACTACATTCACCAGTGCAGGGATAGATTGAACAGACTGTTATAGATTGATAGATTGAACAGACTGTCTTAAATAAATTTGTGCAGTATATTAATTTGTATAAAAAGAAACAACTAGAATAAATTAAAGGTTCCAGAACAAAATTGAATTACTGTAATTCCTTTGTTAAATGAACTTGCTTAGCAGTTGTTACATTAATTTGAATGTCCGCAGAACAAATTTCTGCATAACATTTTAAAACTGTAACTTCATGCAGCCTCTGCCCTATTTTTCTACAATTTAGTTCAAAATGATAGTTTTGACCTTTAAAATCCTTCATGGCATGGGGCCTGGTTATCTGAGGGACTGCTTCTTCTTGATTATGAGCCCATACCATCAGATCCAGCAGAAAAAGTATGCTAAGGGACCTGTCTGCAAGTGCACTACATTTGGCAGGTCCCAGGAGGTGGGTCTTCTCTGTTGTGGTGACCACTTTCTGTGGGGATGCCTGCCCTATGGAATATTACTTTCCCCCACCCGTCCCCAGTGTGGTTGGTTTCATCTCTATTGGTTTTTTTGGAATTCTCCCAAAACCAGTTATGTTATCAGACTTGAGTGTCCTGGTCCTGGGGACTTGTGAGATCTTGAGGTGGCTTCATATTGTTAATACTGTTCTCTCTTAGCCTTATTTTAAAAAAAATATTTTTAAACATTTACTGTTTTATAAGTTGTTCATCATCCAGAGTTACTTTCTGTGAGATGGGTGACCAAGACAAATTCCTTGTGTGCCCAACCACACTTGGCCAATAAAGAATTCTATTCTATGTAAATTTTATAAACAAACAAATATTTTATCTTTCCTTTCTTGCTCTGTGAATAGCTCTTCCAGGTTTATCTTACAATGCCCAAGTTGTAGCAGTACAAGACAGAAATGTTGTACTGTATAAAACTCTGAACCTAAATTTGGCAAAGTGTTCAGATGACAACATTATTTTGTTGGGTTCATGATGCATTTGTCTGGAACGGAATTTTCCAGGGTGCCCAACAAAATAATTTGAGGAGTTTTGACCTAGAGGAGCCCAAAGAGAGTAGTCATGTTAATTGAGTCTGTCTACATTCTTGCAGCCTCTGTGAAGACGGCCGAAAAAGTACAGCTGGATTTATGTGGGAGTGGGGCTCCAGCAGACATCCTTTTCCTGTCAGTCTGAGCGTCGTCCAACTTCTGGACTGGAGGAGAACAAGGAGGGAGAGGAAAAGCCAAGCATTTTCTCTCTCGTCCCCCCATCCCGCTTTCTGGCTCGCCTTTCTTAAAACCCAGGTCTATTTTTCTGCTGATGTCAGAGCGATAGGAAGCTGACTCAGGGTGAAAAACTGTTTGCTCTTTTCCTAGCCTGCGCTTTGCAGAAAATCAGTCCAAAGTTTACGGGATAAATTTGTCAAGCTGAAAGCAACACCCTTCACCCCGCTCCGGGTGCATTTTTCCGAGAGATTTGTTTGCATGATGTCACCAGAGAGAAATTCTGGCGGCGATTTTTTTTTTTTTTTTAAATCACCAACCAGGAGCTGTGCCTTTACAGTAAATCAACTCTCTATTTGCAATGCGCCCTCCAGCAGTCGGGTAAACAGAAGGTACAAGTGGTGGCTGATAAGAAGCATGTAGCATAGGAGGCATTGCACCTTTAAAGTCACTTCTGAATTAAATTAGGCTGCCCACCGGACCAAACGATCCTTCCCATGACAGAGCTGAACACAAAGACAATGGTCTTTCTTTGCCACTAAAAAACTTTAGCCCAGGGGTCAGGGAACTTTTTTACCTTTTACCCCCCAAAAAATTTATAAACGCCGACGTTACCCCCTTGATTTGAAAGGAAGGTCCTTGTGTATGTAAGGGAGGAAGGTCCTTGTGTATGTAAACTAGGAGGAAGGTCCTTGTGTGTGTAAACTATACAAACAGAATGTCGGAAATAAAATGCCTGGGGGTAATGAGAAAATAAAATGCCTGGGGGTAA